ATGGTGGTGGGCTACATAGAGGATTCTGTTAAGTTGCGAAACATTTCATTTGATGCCAGCATATAACTGCTATCAAATAAGTTAAGCTGTTCAGAGAAGTTGCGACAAAAGTCTGAGCAGTTGAGCATTAACTTTGGCATAGAGAGGATTTATAAGTTAAGTATTCCCCTTTAAGAAGCAGTTTCACTAACTTAAAGTGGTCCACTCCAATTTTGAACGAATACAAACAGCAAGATCCAACAGAAACTCAATCTTAAGAAACTAATGTACACCATGAGTTTATTTTGTCTGTAATTAGAATAAATTTACAAAGCATATCAAAGGGGGTTGTGCGTTATTTAGCCTTATTGAAAATACTGGACCGGTGCATCTTTTTCGTCAGTACAGCTCTTGGAAAAGTATCTCTAAGGTAATTTATACACCTATCGGCTTTTTCTTTGTTCGGTGCTCCAATTATAAGTTCATATACCTCTCGCTCTCGTCTCATGTTTCCATCTATAGGTGGGCGCTTTATCGGACCCTTTATGTCAAGGTGGCAGCCTGTCTTCATACTCACTGCTTTTATACGTCGATCGTGAGCATTTTGATGACTGTGTACCAGCTCATCGTGAGGAGCTACTTCAATTATTTGCTCATATGGATGTACTCTCTGAAACAGCCGCTCTTCTTCATTGCTTATGCCCAGATGGGTTGCCACATTTGATTTTCCCATGTCGACTTCGTCCCTTTTTATAGCTGACATACTTGGCTTTGAGCGAATGCGTATGCGTGGCATGGATCGCATTGGCGGTGGCGACGATGGTGGCAAAGAGGGTTGTAAATGCTGGGTGGAGGGAATGAGAAGTTCCGAATGCTTTGTTTCTTCATCTCGCGCGAGTATTCGAGCACCCCTGTAGCTGCTCTGAGGCCCCAATCGACTCGCTGAATGCTGGCAATTGTGTCTATTTCTCTTAAACGACTGAGCGCGCCTTGTTTTTTCGACATGATGTTCCACTGACGAAGTCGGACTGCACAACACCCTAAAATCATTTTTGTGATGACGGAGTACACGTCGACTATCTACTCCAATTGCAGGTTTTTGACTCTTCTCAGTATAAGTCTTCAGTGGTAATCTTGGCAAGACTACATTATCATTTCTTAAGTCACGTGATGTTTCCAGATCCCTACATGCTTCTTCGTTAGCACTTGCCTGTACTGATGCAGTATCGTGAAGCATTTGCGATAGTTTACTTCCAAAATGTACTGCAACGTTGGCAGAGACACGATTCACCAACCACTCCTGAACCACTTGTCTTTGCTGTTCATCAGGGACGTAACCAAAGACATCCAAAGCAATTGATCCACGGTTGGAACCAATTGGAGTTTGAGTAGCCCTAGCTTCAACGGTCTGATTGGCGGGAGTGGATGATTGTCTTTCGGGTGTGGCTCGCACCACATTCACTTGAGGCAGACATGATTCGGTGAGACCCTGAACATTCGTCTTAAAGTCGGATTCCGATGAAAAGTGTGACGGAATGGCACTATCATGCAAAATTCTTGTCCTCTCTACCGTTAAAGACTCTGAAGTGCGACCTGTACATGAAGTAAAACAGGTGTAGGTTGAATAGCTAGAGGAGGAAGAGGATGAAGAAATCTCCGAAGTGCCATGGTACGGAGGTCTGTGACCCGAGGACACCGAAGACACCATCTCTCTGTGACTGGGATTTTGCTGTGGGATTGAGCAGCCACTTTCTTTTATTGCTGCCATCGTTTTTCTACCATTGCTTGGCTGTTGATTTGCAGCCGGAACTCTCTTATTAGACCGTTTCTCGCACATAGGTAGTGCATGCCCTGCAGCATTACGGCAAATTGTGCAAGTGGGAAGGTGCGCAATGGAAGATGGTATGAAGCCTTGTGGAAGTGGTGTTACACCATCAACCATTACCACACTTTTCCCACGATATGCATCCACATTCATTTCCAACGAGTCACTAGTTAAAATAGTGGCGTAAACTACTGACTTCTTGTGGCATAAAGGAGGTTGTTGGGGTTCCCTCGGTGTGGGTCTAGGTGCTTCAGCACCATGTAGATCGAATTTCTTCCCATAGAAGTGTTTCACTCTATCATTTTTTAACACAGCGCACGTTAGAATCGGTGAAGGAGGCGCAGCCGCTGCTACGAGAATATCATCGTGCTCATTCACTGTCACCTTTTGGAAATTATTTTGATCCTCATCCTTCCACAACAGCTTCTCAGCCGCCATTACATTCGCGTTCATGTTGGCTGTAACTCTTTCAGAGAAATTGGTATCTTCATCTTTCATCCTACACTTCTGGATCGGTTCTGCAAAACCTACAGGCGAAGTAGCCCTTTCCACCAGGTCCACTCCATCTGTCTGAACTTGAGCCTTCGTCTGCGGTGTAAGCCATTGCCTATTGTAGTTAGGAGGAGTAAGGCGGAAGTTCCTGTATGGTTGAAACCCATCTTCAGAGCTAGGACTATCGACAATGCTTGTCGTCTCACTATCCTTTAGGATTTCTACTTTATCGTAGCCAAGTACCTCTTTTGAACTTAAAAGTCTTCCATAATTTATCAATGCACTGTCACGTAAAAGACGACCAATACTACTGCCTTCGGTCATATCAGCAGTTTGAATAGCCTGTGATTTCATGCATTTTAATGACAGCCTTCCAGATATCTTTTCTTCAGCGCGGATCATTCTGGCTTCGTTTGAAGACGAACCTGACGAAAGTCGAACAATTCGTTGATGCCAGGGTAAGTGTCGGGGTAGAGGGAGAAGACTTTTATGAGTTTCCATGCCACGTTTTCTTGGTGGTCGCATTAGATTTCGATGAGTTGGAGAGGGCGCGTATGATAGTGGCACAGTCGTGTTCTCTTGATCCTGTTCCTGATCAACACTGAACCAATGACAACTTTTCAAATCTCCCATTGTGGAGTCTACGTGATCCAAAGGTGATCGTGGCTCAGACTCGATTACTTTTTCCGTCTTATTACGAGATGTCGTACTTACCATTACCTGAACCTTAGTGATGTATCGTCTTCCCTCATCATGCCCTTCTGGTGGATGCATTCGTGTTGCTTGAACATAAGGTGGTAGATTGGATAAATGTCCATAGTCATTGTTGTAGTTTGCAGTCTGAACAGTTCCAATCTTGTAAACCATCGGAGGTGGCTCAATTAATATCTCATTTAGAATTTCGCCATCAGAAGTTGATGAAGACGGGGGAGGAGGAAGCGGCAAATCATCCGCTGAAAATCGATAGTTTTCGACAGCCCACTGGGACCACTGCCTGGAATTTGATGATGGAAAGGGTGGTAGGGTGAAGTTGTCATCGACAGAGTCACACTGTGTGACTTCAGGCAGTCGACTCCACATACAAGCTGTCGGATCAAGACAGGCACTTCTGGCTACTGGGACCATCAAAATAGTTGAGATAAAGCGACCTTGAGGTGGATTCTCGCTTTCAAGGCTTAAAGGAGAACCGGAACCTTCATCATTTGTTTGCCTTGAAGTAGGATTGAAATGAAACTCAACTGTAGTTCGATACATTTTAGGAACTATAGATATACGCGAACATTCGCAAAAGCTCTCCAGAAATTCATAAGATTTCGTGCTGCTAATTTTATGTTCTGCTTGCTGAGTGCTCATAATTACGTCAAGGGGAGTCAATAGATTTTTAAAAATATCGACGTCGTACCCCACCACGTGGGCACCATTATGCTGACCTTTCTGGGGCGTTGCGACCCAAGGCCAAACTAAAGGTAACTTTAACTTAATAGGCAAAGTTTATGCGAAAAGGAGCCCTATTAAAATCCTTGTGGTGCTTTAAATGTCCTTGAATCAATTACATTATTCCGTACATATAAAAACAGTGCTACGATTCGCATAATGTTAAAAACGGAACGAAGTGGAGAAAAGTTGTCAACGCGTCAAGTTAGCCTCTACTGCCATATTGTGCCATAACACAAGTTGGAAGTAAAGGCTACAAACCGGACAAATTCAAAAAGCAGCTTGTCGTACCAACGAGAGCTTCCATCGCCACGCTCGCGCAAACCACCCAGGCATCTTCACTCTTGCGACATCTGGGCGCCATGTTTGCCCTGCATCCACCGCTGGTCAGCTTCCCTCTCCTC